CCACCAAGACTCAGCCTAGTGTCTCCCTCCTAGATTAGAAGGGTGTAGGTTGTTAATGATCACCCACTGTGTTTACAGACCTTCACGGTCTCAGAAAAGGCATGGGTCCCCAGAGAGCAGTGTTGCTGCTTCTTCAGTAGCTGTAAATCTGGATCCTCTAGCAGCCGCTGACTTGAAATCAGGTTGCAAGAACTTCTTCTGCCGGTCTTTCCTCCCTTTCCCTTTCTCTCCTGTTTCCTTTTTTGATGTTCCTATGTTTATTTCTCAGAAGAAACTCAACATCTTGGGCAGATTCTCCAGCACAGTGAAGAATGGAGAGAGAGCTCAGGTCAGGCAAGCGGGAGAGCCGAGCCACGCCTTTGTGCCCAGGGTGTGGCCCCAGGCTCTGCAGGGAAGGTGGTCGCGAGACCTCCTCTAGCAAGACGCGGTCTTCCGGCCCCAGTGCAGGAGGCGCGGTCCACCAGTGCTAGTCACTCAGCGCGTCCGACTCTTGGCAACCAGGCTCCTCCGTCCGTGGGATTCGCCGGGTGAGAACACTGGGGTGGGTAGCCATTCCCTTCTCCAGGGGATCTTCTCAACTCAGGGATCGAACCTGGGTCTCCTGCAGATCGAACCCAGGTCTCCTGGGTCTCTTGCAGGCAGATTCTTTACCATTTGAGCCACGGGGGACGCCCAATCCCACTATCTGAAGTGTTATACTTTATTTCTTAATTATATGGCCTCAGTGTTCCCTGAATCTCCCTCTGAAGGGGAAGCCAACCCCAGCTGAGACATGCCCCACCCTTCACCCCAACTGTGCTCGGATCACCCAGTGTTTTCAATCAGCTCAGCTTGGAAAGCTGCCCCGATGCACAGTTGGAGGACTTCTTGTCCTGATGTGAAGCTAAGATCTTTGGTTCGGCATGGATCTTTTTTGTATTAATTTGATCTGATAAACTGTTGCATTATGGTATCATTTCTCATACCCTGGCCTCTCCCTTAATTTTGTGCCTGTGGTTAGCGCAGAACTGGTCTGAACCCTAGTTCCAGTCCTCGGCTTAACAAAGAATCCTAGGAAACATTAAGAATGTTCTCCAAATTGTCTGAGGGCTGCAGACATTTTAAAAAGAAGTTAATTTTTACTCTTTATGCTTTGTGGTTATCCACAAAAATTAAAAATATCTTTATTTTACATGAGAGAAGAGAAAAAAAGAAAACTGAATAATTTTGCCAGATTATTCCAAACCCAGGCCAAAACACCGACAATTTTTCAAATGAACAGTAAATTTACTGAACAAGTATATTGTCAGGTGTGGCTGGAAAATGACACTCAAACTGTGACCTTTTAAGGCTTTCATCAGGTTTTTGTTCACTGACGAAGAAGAAGGCACTCAGAAGCTGGCTTCGGCGGTCCATGACGGGGGCGCCTCCTTCTCTTCTGGAAAACAGATTATCCAAAGAACATGGTTGGCATCTCAGGACCAGAGCTCACGCGAGCTTCTCTCTGATCAGGAAGTGTTTTCCTGAAAATATAAGTGCACTTTCAGTTACATTCTACAAGCGTCCAGAAAAAATATATTTTAAAGCTTTTTTTATAGAAAAAAATTGTTCTATCACCTTTTGTCTACTATAACTATTAAGCCATGGATTTTTTGCAGGAGTAAGACCCTAGAAAGTATCTCATACAAATCCATAAAATTGGTAGGTGAGGAAACTGAGGCTTTTTTTTTTAAAGGTGAATTTTATTGATTGGATTTCCTTAATCTCACTGAGGGATCCTTATTTATTCTCAGAGAGGCTGAATGTCTGGGATTTTGTGTCTTTAGTAACTAAACCCTATGTCAGCTAGTTGATAGGCTTGGAACTAACACATTTTTTCTTTGAAAATAGTTTGTTCCCTTACTTGAAAGTTCACGATGCTGTTCCTTCTCCATCATCTGTGGAGAAACACTCTCAGATTTAGTCTTTCACTGCCTTGCCTTGGTCCACGGTCTCACCAGTTAGTAATTGAATCCAAAATGTTTTGAAAACAAATGAGGACTGAATTTTGCCATATTTATTTCTTTAGCCCACTGAAGCGCTGGGTAATGTACTACAGTAAAACATTTATAAATGAAACATGGAGCGAATCCAGCTCATTATCAGTCATTTAAATTTGGTCTCTTTCTAGAAATATAACTATAGAGATTTTTAAAAAATTAATTGAGTTGACATAGAAAAAAAGATTTCATAGGCCAGGCACCTTGGAATCCAATGCTCCTATTACTTAATTTTTCCATTCCCTAGTGTTCTTTTTCATGACTTGCTTGTTGTTGGATATCCTTCAGAATTATTTTTTCTTTCATTTTTCTGAAGTTTTATTGAAATATGGTTAATTTACAATGTTTTATTAGTCTCAGATATACAGTAAAGTGATTCAGTTATACACACACATATATAAATATATACAGTCTTTTTTTACAAGAATTCTCAGAATTCTTATTTTGAACATTTCAGAGTTCCTTTCACACCCTTGTAAGTGTGTGTGTGTGTCTGTATATAAAATATTTAATGCACATTTTGCATAGATATCTATTAATGTAAAATATTCTTCTATAAATCTTCAAAGTTAAAGTGTAGGAAATGCTGTGGAAAACATGTATAGCTACCTCCTTCATGTAGAACAGCATAGGGCCACACGGACTGTAAGCTCCAGGAAGGTGGAATTTCTGCCTCTCACTCAGCACTTTTTCTACAGAATCTTAGTGCTGCCACTGGCACAGGGAAGCCACTCAGTAAACATTTAATAATGAGTGGTTAGATGTAAAGAGAAATACATGAATGCTGCCAAATATCTTATATTTGTCCTTTCATGGGAGAGCTTTAGTATTTATAAGCTTAATGATTAGCATAGATGGAGAATATGTTGTCATTTTATGTATTGTCATTCATGGAGTTTAAAAGGCAGACAATGTTTAATTAGCATTAGCTAGAGTGATGTCAATAAAGAACAATAAAAATATAATCCCTGTAAGAATTTTTGTGGAACTAATGGGTGCCATCAGACACTTTTCCATACACTGATCGTTGTCATTTCTCTATGATTATGTTTGTAAAACTATCTAAATATCAGAAATGTGAATAATTGCTTTTTTACTTATCTGTCCTTTGGAGTTCTGGAAGAATAGTAAGGATGTTGGAAGGAGAGTACAAAATGAAAAAGAAAATAATGCTGAGTACTATTTCCAATTTCATTGGTGCAAGCAGAGGAAGGCTTGGCCCAGTGGATGTGCCTTGTATAACCCAGGACTATAGCAGCCACCCTGAGGCCCCTCAGCCCTGCAGACATGCATTTACACAGCGCTCAGATTTAAGGCTCATTGGAAAAGACCCTGATGCTGGGAAAGATTAAGGGCAGGAGAAGGGGGCGACAGAGGATGAAATGATTGGATGGCATCACCAACTCAGTGGACATGAGTTTGAGCAAACTCTGGGAGATGGGGAAGGACAGGGAAGCCTGCCATGCTGCAGTCCACGGGGTCGCAAAGAGCTGGATACAGCTTAGCGACCAAGCAACAATAACAGATTTAAGGAGGTGCCAGCATCCTCAGTCATCAGGATAATCCATATTTCACTGTAATATTAAAAAGAAAATAAAAGTGCTGGCAAAAAATTCATAATAAATGAAATATCACAGCTTTAAGTAAAGACCAGATCAGTATAAGGTCATTAAAGCCTCTGATGGCCTGGCCAGCATTGAAGAATAAAAGCAAATTGATGAGAAGGTAATTTGACCAGGGTCAGAGTGAGGGGTGGGCTATGTTCAGAGTTAGACCTCTTCTCTGGATTGGACTTCCTAACTCTAAATCTCTCCTGGGAGAATAAATTCCTCTCTAATCAAAATTTTCCCATCCGAAATCTTCTCATCTCAGGCATACATTTATTTTAAAATGATGTACATAATATTTGCATGTTTCATGTAGTACCATTTAAAAATATCTACCTTCTGTGGGAACCAGCCCTTTTAAGTATTTAAATACTTTGGTTTTTTTTAAAAAAAAATGTGGTCTGCCTAATACTTATTTATACTATACAATGAAAATATTAATTTTGGTCCTACAGAATAACTCCATAATTAGCACAACCCGTCATTATGTGACTTCTGATCAGCCAGGAGTCTAATTAAGCAACTTGAAATATAAGAGCTACATATAGTAAAATCCACAGAAACCCTGGCCTGTCAGTCATCGCGTCTTATCCTGAACATGGGTGTTAAAATAGCAGTGTTCTTTCCAGGGGATAATGAATCCTTGTGACGGTCACTGCACCACCTTGGAGGGCAATTTCTCTCCAGCCTCAGGAGATGGACTAAGTTACATGGACGCCATGTAGTGTGTTTGACACAGAGGCTCAGGCACGCTGCCCAGGGGAGGGGGCTTGTGTATTTGTTGCTAAGATTTGGCGCACTTGCGTATTTAAGATCCTTGGTTTTTTACGAATGTCAGATGAAATAAAGCCTCGTGAAAATGTTTGTGTGTGTGTGTGTGTCTGTATGCCCAGCACGTTTCCAAACTCTTCTGGAACTTTCTGCACACACTCTGCGGGCCTTAGGCATCTTCACCACTGACAGCCCAGTGGTCCTGGCTTCCTGATTCCAGGGGTGGTTCCAGGCACCTCTGTGTCCTCAAGGCTGCCCTCTGGGGGGCCTCCCCTGCAAGAGCCCCTTGCTTGGAAGCCGGGTCCTCCTCAGGGGGACCCGAGGCGACCCTGCAGGGTTTGCCCGGCTGCCCCAGGAGCCTGCTCCTGGCACACGAGGTTGGGGGCCCGCCTGTAAGCCATTCCCTGCAGCGATTTCAGGTCAGGACTCGGGGCATCAGGCAAATTACACCCAAAGGGAAGCTGCAAAGAGAAAGTCGCAACCTCAATCCTCCCCACGACTTAGGTCTTGAAAAAGGAAAAAAAAAAAAAGACTTGATCCAAACATCCATGTCTGCAGAAACCCCTTTTTTGTTAAGTCCCCAGCTTCGTCATTGAACTTACAGACGAATGTGGTTCCAGGCATCACACGAGCCACCAGCCTCTCAAGTCGGCCAGTCGTGAGTGTCGTCTGACTAAGGGCAGCCTCTGTGCCCGGCACCCTGAGTGTGTTCTCCTGGCCCCCGGGGGTCCCTCCCCGGACTCTGCACAGCGGTGCGGTTACACGGGGCCAGCGGAGGCCCGTCCCCTCGCTGGAGGCCTCACATTCCTGCAGAGTGGGAGGACGGCCCTGGGAGCACCCACATTCTGTTGTGTTGTCTGCCCTGCTGCCACTGAGCACCCCCAAGCTCCAGGTGAGTCTCCCGGGGGCTCTGAGCCCATGCACTCCGTCCCGAGGATGCTGAGGGGTGAGGGGTGACCACTGAAGGGTCTGCTAGGCAGCTGCTCACCTGGTGAACTCTCTGCACACCAGGCCCAATGGGGGGACGATGCCCGTTCTTGGTGGACCTTGCTTATGGGGGCTCCCAGGTACCTGCTGCTCCCCTGAACAGAAATGCCCGTGACTTGGCAGGCTTGCGAGTTGAAGGGCCAGCTGGGCCAGTCTCCTGTTCTTGCTGCAGCAAATGAGCACAAATTGGGCGGCTTGAAGCCACACTTACTCCCTCGCAGTGGCCAGGCAGCAGGTGCTGGCACTGCCGAGCTCCCCCAGAAGCCCTGGGGGGGATCCCTGGTTCCCTCCTCCTCCGGCTTCCGGAGGGCGGCGGACCTGTGCTTCCCATCCTTGCCTCCGGGTCCCGCTGGTTTCTCCCCATGTCTTCCTGTGGCTGTACTTATGGTCTGGTCTGCATGGTTCCACCTTCTTGCAAGGACAATAGTCACTGATTTGGGTCCCACCTTCTCCAGTATGACTTCATCTTAATTTATTACATCTGCAAAGACCCCGCCTCCAAGTAAGGCTACATTCAGAAGTTCTATGTGGACGTGAATGATAGGAGAAAGCAATTCACATGGTATACTGCCTTGGAGATGAAGAATAAGTGTGCAGAGTGCTTTAAGCAGAAAATGGATCATACATTCACCGGTAGAAAATGTGACAACATATACAGAACTTATGGACATTGGCCACTGCATTGATCTTTTAAATATTTACTTGGGTTTTGAATTTTGTTTCTTTTGCTGTTTTACTATTACATTTTTGCAAGTCTCTGTCTGCACATCAAAGTAAAATATTTTGATGTGCAAATACTAGTCATGTATCATGATTCTTCTTTCTTTTCTCCTTCCTCTCTTTTCCCTCCCTCCCTTCCTACCATCTTTCCTTCCTTCCTTTTTCTTTCTTTCTTCTTTACTTCCTTTTTTTTTTTTTCCTAAGACAACATTCCTGTAAGCTTTGAGGTAGACAGATTCAGAGAGAAAGAGGAAAGGGATTGGAACTAGGGGATGAAGGCTTAAAGAACTCTGCTTTTCCAAAGCACAAGTTTTCATCAAAGATCCATTTACTCTCCTTAGAATCTCGAAGACCCGAATAGAATTCCATTACTTTGACAAAGCAAAGTGGGCTTTCTGGACATTTCTATTCTCAGGCTCTGACACAAATCAGAAGGAAATCAGGTGAAGAAAGACCCGTAACCGTAACCCAGCCCACCTCCTCTGTCCCCACGCCCTCCCCCAGGCTCTGGGGTTCTTTCAAAGGACTTGCAGAATCACTGCGTTTTAGTTAAATACTGAGATTCCTCCACTGAACTCTATTGCTCACCTGCTGTGTGCACAGAGCAGGTGGCTCCTAGCGAGCGCCTCCGGAGCAGCGTCGGGATGTGAACACACAGCGCGGGTCAGCCCTCCTCCCCCGAGGCAGGTCCAGGTGTGCGAGGCCTCAAGTTTGGGGCAGTCTGGGGAAGCCCGCCCCTGAGTCACCCTTCCCCGGCCCTCTGGCCTCAGACACGCTGTGGCAACATACTCTTGAGGGGTCCCGGCCTCCTGACCCTGGCACCAAACCCGGAGCCTCCAGCGTGCCTTGCTCCGCCGTCCCAGCCACACAGCCGCCTCCGAAGGCCTTGAAAGGAGCAACCCAGTAGAGGGGCCCCAGAGGAGGCACAGAGCCCAGTCCAGTTCGTCCCCTCGCCTCGCAGGAGAACAAGGCCAGGGGCGGCGGCCTTCGTCCAAAGCCGGGCTGATGGGTGGAGAGAGTCCTGGGCAGAGTGAGAGTGAGGGGGCCCCGAGGAGGACCCCGGATCCTGAGCACAGCGTGGGGCGGGCCCAGCACGGACACTGACACCCGCTCCAGGCTGGGGCCCGGGTCCTGGAGCTCTCAGGAGGGAGGTCAGAGGAGAGGTGAGGGGTGCAGCTCACGTCGGGGTGAGCGTGTAGCGGAGGAAGTCAGGGAGCCCCCGGGCCCAGGAGTGCTGTGACCACAGGCGGCGTGTGGGCACTGCCTCTGTCCTCTGAGGGCAAATGCAGAGGGCTCGGGCCCCGCTGCATCTCTAGACACCATGCTGCAGACAGAACAGGCCCTCGGGGTCTCCCCAGGTCCACTTGGCTCCGCTGCACACCCCAGGTCTTCTTGAGAATGAGTGTCGGAATCAGCAGCCTACAGGGTGATGATTCTGGGCGACCTCCTGTCTTCTGACCCAGGACTCACCAGGGAACGAATCAACAGGTTCCTCCCACCCAGGGCCTGCCGTCTGCCCCTCCTCTGCCCCCCAAAAACCCCTCCTGACACAACGCCCCCTCTTCCTTCTGTCCTTCCCTGGAGGACGTGTATCCAGGACCCACTGGGCACTGGCCTTGCTCTAAGGACACGGGGCTGCTGTGGTCTCGGCCGTGTTCATGCTCTCATTCTGGGTCCCCCAGGAAGCGAGGTCCCTGCACCCGATCAGATGCCCCCACGTGTCAGCCACTCTGTGCTGTAGGCTGGCCAGCGCCCCCCGCTGGATGCAGCTGCTGCTGTGGACAGACCCACCTGCTGCCCGTTGCACATGCGTGTTCCAGAACATGTGACCACCGGGGGTGCCATCTCTTAGAGACACTGAAGGGACATGCCCTGGGGCGTCCTTTCCAGACGCCAGGAGCCTCTCATGATGTCAGCACGTGTCAGCTCGAATGGGCCACGAGGCTCCCGGATGTTTGGTTCAGTGTTACTCTGGCTGTGACTGTGTTTCTGGATGAGGTTAGCATCTGAGAAAACCTATCACCATCTGCAGTGAGGGTGGTATGTAGTCAGTCGTGTCCGACTCTTTACGGCCCCGTGGACCGTAGCCCCCCAGGCTCCTCTGACCATGGGATTCTCTGGGCAAGAACACTGGGCTGGGTTGCCATTTCCTTCTCCAGGGAATCTTCCCCACCCAGGGATCGAACCCCGCTGTCTCGAGTCTCCTGCACTGGCGGGCAGGATCTTGACCACCCAGTCACCTGGGAAGCCCCATGGTGAGGGTGGGCCTCACCCAAACTGCTGGGACCCTGAGTGGAACAAATAGCTGAGTGAGGGAGGCGTTTCTGCCTGGCCGTCTTCTAGCCGGGACACTGGTCTCCAGCGGCGGACCTGCACCCAGGCTGGGGTGGGCAGCACAGGCTCTCCTGCTCTCAGGCGTCACGGCTGGACCAGAACCGTGCCCGAGGCTCTGCTGGGCATCCAGCCTCCCACTGAAGACTGGGACTTCGTAGGCCCGCAGCCTCACAAGCCAAGGGGATCCCTTACTATCAGTCTCTCTGTCTCCCTCCCTCCCTCTGTCTTTCCCTCTCTCTCTCTGTCTCCCCCCCCCCCCACCCCCATGTATATATCTCTAAAGTCTCTTATTGTCTCCCTGGAGAACTCTGACTAATATGCTCAGGATGCCAGGAATAGTCATCCCCATTTATCATCGTGGCACAATGGATCTTTCCCCTCTTTATTTGTCTGTACTTTAAGTCTTTTTATAAATAATTTACAATGACAAGAATTTTAGCATTGCAAACCTGCATTTTTTAAACTTTTTATTTTATACTGGAGTATGAAAGGGAAAGTGGAAATCGCTGGGTTGTCTCCGACTCTGCCACCCCGTGGTCTGTAGCAAACCAGGCTCCTCTGTCCACGGGCTTCTCCAGGCAAGAACGCTGGAGTACAGGTAATTAACAACGCTGGGCTAGATTCACATATACAGTAAAGTGACTCCATTACACATAAGCATGTATCCATTCTTTTCCTGACTCTCTCCTGTTTGGTTGTGATGTAACATCGAGCAGAGTTCCCTGTGCCGTACGGCAGGCAAGCCAGCACTTCGATTCCGTGTGTTCCAGTCTGCAGGTCTACATGTGTGAAACGGATCAGTCCTCTGAGTACACCATCAGCTCATGAAACTACCTGTATGAACCGGGAACAAAGCTTTCCTGTAAAAACTGATGGCAGATTCTAATTATTTCTCTGAGAGTTTCTAGATTATCAAAACTTTCTTTGAGCTCTTTTTGAGTTTGCACCATCCAAACACAAAACCTAAGGAAGTTTTTGAAATTTTGGACACCTCATAATGTTCTTGAAGAGAGAAAATGGCCATCTTCTTGGCTTGAATCTGAGAGATCACCCAGACAGTGCTAGTCACTTCTCCAGAGCCAGCCTCCAGCCAGGTTTTGCTGGCTGGTTTCTCACAGTGCCCCTCTGCGAATTAGTCACTAAGTCGTGTCCAACTCTTTGCGACCCTATGGACCATAACGCGTCAGACTCCTCTGTCCCTGGGACTCTCCAGGCCAGAAAACTGGAGTGGGTTGCCGTTCCCTTCTCCAGGGGATCTTCCCCACCCAGGGTTCGAACCCAGGTCTCCTGCATTGCAGAGTCTTTACCACCTGAGCCACCAGGAAGCCCTCATCGATTGCTTGTCTGGCTAATTCTTGAATCAAAGGTAAGAAACCTGGAAAAAACTTAATTATGAGACAAAAGCAAACAGAAAACCCTCCTTTCAATTTCTAAACAATTGAAGCAAGAGAAACAAAAAGATGTTCTGCTGATGAAAACTCCTGGCTTTGTGTCCCTCAGAGCCCAGGAGGGATGCACAGGTGAATTTGAGTCTGGCCGGCTGGATGTTTGGGATGTGGAGGCAGACAGCACAGTGCCTGCATTTCCAGCCTGGACGGTCCCTGGGGTTGCGAGGAGGGCTAAGCCAAGAGGTGACATTCAGCCTCGTGGGTCTGAAACCTGCCTCCAGACTGCAGGTACACACACTTGCTCTACTGTGACGAAGGCGTCCTGGCTGTTTTATATGTAAGTGGTCTGGGGCAAGACAGCCTGACATAGGTGTGCCTGCGAGACCTCCCGGGCATTCTCTGTTTTGTTACCAAAGAGCTTTGGATTCTGACTTGCCCTGTGGTTGGTGATGCCGCTGGGACA